CCTGCTACAAACAGCTAATATTGTTCATTTTCCTGATTTACATGCATGTGCAATGTATGTGACTGTTGTGCTGGGCAACTTCCAATTTCTCCTTCATATTCAGTCTCTACCTTTCTCCATCCAGTACTCTAACCCAGAAGGCTTCTTTACCTCTGACTTCTGGCTGGGTATGGCCAACAAGGAGACCTGCAAGGAGATGGAATATGTGTGGGGAAGAAGAAAAAAGGATGAGGTCAGGGAATATATTTTGATGATTCTGTTACTTCAGGGTCACTACTGGTTATGTCTCATTTCCAAATGTCACAGCTCTTCTCCTGTAGACCTTTCCACATACTCTCTCTTTGTTGATTCTATTAAGTCACCAGGATGACAAAGTCTCATTATTACTAGTCTAAGAATAGTACTACACTAATCCTTGTCAGGTTGGTTGTCAGCTACAGTGCCGGAAAATGAGCCCTTCGGGTTGGAAGGTACTCAAAATATGACTAGGGAAGAGCTGCCTCCTCAAAGTAGAGTCAACCTTAATGACATGGATGGAGTAAAGCTTTAGGGACCTTCATTTGCTGATGTTGCGTGACTCAAAATGTGAATAAACATCCACTAATAATTTGAATGTGGAATGAACAAAGTATGAATATAGGAAATTTGGAAGTTGTCAAAAAATGAAATGGAACACATAAATATCAACATCTTAGGCATTAGTGAGCTGAAATGGACTGGTATTAGCGATTTGGAATCAGACAATCATATGATATACTATGCAGGGAATGACAAATTGAAGAGGAATGGAAATGCATTCATCATCAAAAAGAACATTTCAAGATCTATCGTGAAGTACAATGTGTCAGTGATAGGACAATATCTATATGCCTACAAGGAAGATCATTTAATGTTATTATTATTCAAATCTACATACCAACCACTAAAACCAATTATGAAGAAACTGAAGATTTTTACCAACTTCTGTCATCTGAAATTCACCAAACATGCAATTGGGATGTATTGATAATTACTGGCTATTGGAATGCAAAAGTTAGAAACAAAGAAGAATCATCAGTAGTTGGAAAATACTGCCTTGGTGAAAGAAATGACACTGGAGATCGTATGATAGAAGTTTGCAAGACCACTGACTTACTCATTGCAAATACTTTTTTTTTCCAACAACATGAACAGCAACTATACACGTGGACCTTGCCAGATGGAATACACAGGAATCAAATTGACTACATCTGTGGAAACAAGTGATAGAGAAGTTCAATGTCGTCAGTTAGAACAAGGCCAGGAGCTGACTGTAGAACAGACCATTAACTGTCCATATGCAAGATCAAGTTAAAGCTGAAAAATTAAAACAAGTTCTTGAGAGCCAAAATGCAGCCTTGATTATTATCACACCTGAATTTAGACACCATCTGAAGAATAGATATGACACACGGAACACTAATCATTGAAGACAAGGTGAGTTGTGGGTTGACATCTATAACATTGTACATGAAGAAAGTAGAAGATCATTAAAGACAGGAAAGAAAGAAATGACCAAAATGCATGTCAGAAGAGACTCTGAAACTTGCTCTTGAAGAGAGAGTAGCTAAAGCAAATGGAAGAAATGACAAGATAAAAGAACTGAACAGAAGATTTCAAAGAACAACTCAAGAAGACAAAGTAAATTATTATAAAGAAATGTGCAAAGACCTGGAGTTAGAAAACTGAAAGGGAAGAACAGGCTTGGAATTTCTCAAACTAAAAGAACTGAAGAAAAAAATCAAGCCTTGAGATGAAATACTGAGGGATTCTATGGGCAAAATACCAAATGATGCAGGAAGCATCAAAAGAAGATGGAAGGGATACACAATCATTGTACAAAAAAGAATTGGTCAAAGTTCAATCATTTCAAGAGGTAGCATATGATCAGGAACCAAAGATATTGAAGAAAGAAATCCAAGCTGCACTGAGAGAAATGGCAAAAGACAAAAAAGGGAGGAGGGGGGTCCTGAAATTGATGGAATATCCCTTGAGATGTTTCAACAAGCAGATACGGTGCTGGAGGCACTTACTATTTTTTGCCAAGAAATTTGAAAAACAGCTACCTGGCCAACTAATTAGAAAAGATCCTTATTTGTACCCATTCCAAAGAAAGGTGATCCAACAGAATGTGGAAATTATTGAAAAATATCATTAATATTATATGCAAGTAGAATTTTGCCAAAGATAATTCAAAAATTGGTTGCAACAGTATATTGCCAGGAAATTCCCAAAAATTCAAGCCAGATTCAGAAGAGCATATGTAATGAAGGATATCACTGCTGATATCAGATGGATCTTGGCTGAAAGCAATGAATACCAGAAAGATGTTTACTTGTGTTTTATTGACTATGCAAAGGATTCAACTGTGTGGGTCATAACAAATTATGGATACCATTGTGAAGATAACATTGTGAATTTCTGAAGAAATTTCAGAAAAATTAATTGTGCTCATGAGGAACATGTACATAGACCAAGAGGCTGTCATTCAAACAGAACAAGGGAACACAGCAAGATTTAAAATCAGGAAGGGTGTGCATCAGGGTCGTGTACTTTCCGCATACTTATTCAACTTGCATGCTGAGCAAATAATCTGGGAAGGGGGACTATAAGCAGAAGAACATGGAATCCAGTTTGCAGGAAGATTCATAAAAAACCTGATATATGCAGATTACACAACCTTGCTTGATCAAAGTGAAGATGACTTGAAGCACTTACCAATAAAGATCAAAGACTACAGCTTTCAGTATGGATTACACCTCAACATAAATAAAACAAAAATCCTCACAACTAGACCAATAAGCAATATCATGATAAACGGAGAAAAGATTGAAGTTGTCAAAGAATTCATTTTATTTGAAATCAATGCCCGCGGAAGCAGCAGTCAAGAAATCAGATGATATATTGCACTTGGCAAATCTGCTGCAAAAGACCTCTTTAAAGTGTTAAAGAACAAAAGTGTGACTTTAAAGACTATGTTGTGCCTGACTCAAGCCATGGTATTTTCAACAGCTACATGTACATGTAAAAGCTGGACAAGGCATGAGGAAGACAAAAGAAGAATTGATGCATTTAAATTATGATGTTAGCAAAGAATATTGAAAATACCATGGATTGCGAGAACAAACAAATTTATCTTGGAAGAAGTACAGCCAGAATGCTCCTTGGAAGTGAAAATGGTCAGACTTCATCTCACATATTTTGGCCATAATGTCTAAAGGGACCAGTTTCTGGAGGAGGATATCATGCTTTGTAAAGTAGAGGGTCAGCAAAAAAGGGGAATGTCCTCAGTGAGATGGATTGACGCAGTGGCTGCAACAATAGGCTGAAGCATAGCAAAGATTGTGAGGATGCACAGAACAGGGCAGAGTTTCATTCTGCTGTCCATGAGGTCACTTTGAGTCAGAGCCTACTCGACAGCACCTAACAGCAATCCTTGTGGTTTTTTCATACTCTGATCTCACCTTTGTAAATAGTCTCTTTATTAAATTCTCCTCGAATTATCTTAATTTGAGTGTGCCATATGTTTCTGATGAGAGCCAGACTAATACATATGGGTCATAGTTTATATGAATGTTCAACTTTACAACACAATTCAAATTATTTTCCAAAGAGGTTGTACAAATTTAAACTCAAACCAGAAGTGTCTAAGAGAGCCTATTCATCTACATCTCCTCTAACACTTGGTGCTGTCTGATTTCTTAAATTTTGTCATTAATATGGATATTAAATGGTATATTATTAGAATTTTGATTTACAGTTCTCAAATTATGTGTGAAGTTGAACATCTCTATAAAATATGTTAGATATATGTATTTCCTTTTCTGTGAAGTGCTTATTCAAACATATTGCCCATTTTTGCTTTTTTCTAATTGGTTTGTGAGGGTTGCTTATATGGGCTTGATATTTCTACTCTATGTTGTGTTGTTGTTTTGTACCAGCAGGTCGACCTGACTCGTAGTGACCCCTCCTTGGGTTTCCAATGCAATATCACTGTGGAAGTAGATTGCCCCATCTTCCTGCCGAGGAGTGGCTGGTGGGTTTGAACCACCAGCCTTCTGGTTAGCAGTCAAGTGCCTTAGGCACTAGGCTACCAGAGCTCCCACTGTATGTTATAGGTGTTTACCATATCTTTTACCAATTCTCTTTCTTTCCCCCCCCCCCATTTTTATAGAGTCTCAATGAAAATAAGTCATAATGTTAGTGTAGAAGAAATTTTCATTATTTTCCTCTCTGTACACATTTTTGTGCCTTTTTACAGAAATCCTGCTGTTGTACTCAACCTCCAAGATGGCCCCAATGATTTGCACTTTCTGGTATTCGTACTTTTGTGTAGTCTCCTTTATTATGTCAGGTTTGATGATGCGATCAAAGAAATATGATGGAAGTTAACTTCTGAAGCTAACTCATAAAGGACATTGCTGATTTTACTTTGCTCTCTTGGATCACTTGCTCTAGTGGAGCCCAGCCACCACGTTGTGAGGATACGCAAGGAGGTCTATGGAGTGTTTTATGTGGTGAGAAACTGAGACCTCCTATCAATAGCCAGCACTAACTTGGTAACATGAATGAGCCATCTAGAAATTAAATCCATCAGCTCTTGTCAAGCCTTCAGATGATTGCAGCCCTCATCACCATGTTGACTGAGGGAACTTCTCTATAGTATTTTCAGGGAGGAAGGTCATAATTTTCAAGAGGCCTCCTTGTAAGTCTTCTAACTGATAGAACAGTACAATCTCTAACACAAGGAATATTTGTGGAAGGAAGTATAGAGAAAGGAAAGAAAATAACGAAGAACAAATGGAAGAAGAGCTCATCCTATCATTATTGGAGAAGAAGAAACTAGAGGAGGGATGATTAAAGGGAAAGAAGCATCTGAATACTTCCATTATATGACACAAGGATCACACATAAATTATAAAAGGAAATTAAACTTTTACGATAGATATAAATTTTAAAGATGTCCATGATTAAAGTTCCACTCATAGTAAAATCTTCTTCACCTCACATATTGAATTCATATTTGAATCACAGAAAACATCATTCCAGCCCAATTTTCCAGGTGTCCAGAAAACTATTGAAACACATTGCTCTCCAGAGAAACTGGGCTCCTTGTCATGCCAGAATCTAAAAGGAAACAAAAGGTAGAAATGTTCTTCAATGAATGTGTAATGAACAAATAGAAACTATGCAGGTGTGAAGGAACTAAAATGAGGTTCAAGGGAATAAACATCCCAATGTTTGCTCCCCATTCTAATGCTGCATTCCTCGAAAACTTCAAGTACAGACATACTCTTTTACACTTGCTCCTCTAACATTTTCCTGGAAAAATATTTATGAGACAGTATAATCTTGAACCTTTTCCTTGGAACTTGATCTTCACTTCCTCCTCTACAGAGTCCTGTTCCTGACCTGGGTTATTGAAAATTTCTTTCTTGCTGGCACATAATAAAGAGGCTACCTCCTCGCATTTGTCTCTATTCTCATGGGAGTTTCTCTATTGGCATTGAATTGCCTTAAATTAGTGTCAGGGTGACTAAGTCTAGGCATAAAAAGTTACCCTGCTTCCAAGGAAGATAATGTATGGTAGGGGGTGAGGGTGAAGTGGGACTTTATTTTATTATTATTTTTTCAAGACCTGTTTGCTTCTCATTCATTTTCATCTTGAATAAGTAGTTGATCTCCCCGAGTATTAGATTTCTCATCTAAAAAATGGGGATCATAAAAGCTGCCAGTGAATTGGTCCCTGACACATGGAGACCTATGCACAACTGAATGAAATGTTCCTCTGCTCTGTGCTTTCTCCATGATCATTTGTGGATCAGACTATTGTGATTCCTAGGAGCTCTGGTAGCATAGTGGCTAAAAGCAGTTGACTGCTAACCAGAAGGCTGGCGGTTCAAACCCACCAGCCACTCCTCAGAAGGAAGGTTGGGCAATCCTACTTCCGTAGTGATACTGCCTCGGAAACCCAAGGAGGGGTCGCTATGAGTCGGGGCCGACTCGATGGCACATAACAACAACAACAACAACAAGGGTTTTCATTGGCTAATTTTCAGAAGTAGATCACCAATTCATCTCAGTCTGGAAGCTCCACTGAAATCTGTTCAGCACCACAGCAACACACAAGGCTTCCTTGACAATGAATGGGTGGTGGCTGGAACATGAGGTGCATTGGCCAGGAGTGAACCTGAATCCCCAGTATGAAGGATGAGAATTCTACCACAGAACCACCAGAGCCTCCAGGAATCATAAGGTCCCCAAATAGCTCACAAGGTTGTATAAGAATCAAATGAGAGAATGAATAATTAATGCAAACCTTGTTTTGTTTTGTTTTTAAAATCCACAAATAAACAGTACTGTTATATGATTATCCTACTAGAACTGAAAATAGCTCTGGCCTAAACTGGGAAAAAAAAAAAAAACACTGCCATCGAGTCAGTTTCTGAGGCAGAAGTAGATTGCCCAGTCTTCCCTCTGCAGAGTGGCTGGTGGGTTTGAACCACCAACCTTCTGGTTAACAGTCAAATGCCTTAAGCACGACACTACCAGAGCTCCTTAGCTCTGGCCTAGATATTTTAAATCTTATGAATGGGAGAATAATTTAATTGAAGTGTCTGCTTGTGTATAGAGGCAGCAAAATATAATGGTTAAAAATACTGTCTTTGGAGTCAGAATGATATGGAGTGGAATCAAGTTTTTTCTCTTACTAATTCATTGACCTTGGTCAACATACTCAATTTTTCACCTGTAAAATTAATTCTAAAAACAAGAAGGTTTTGTCAGGTGTAAATAAGATAATACATCCACTTAGTAAGAGCTTAATGGAAGTTTAATATAACTTATCATTATAATTATTAACATTAATAATCCCTGTTAACAAGGTTTTACATAGAAAATTAATGGTTCATTAATCTGGGACTGAACTCACTTGATGTTTTCTTTGTAAGGTGTATGATCAATCCATTGCCATTTGCTGTTCCCCTGTGGATCAGAGAGTCCCAGGAAATAAGGAAGTGATTCATTCAATTGCTGGACAATGAAATTCTGCATGAAGAAAAAGAGGAGTCATAGACTTTGGAAGTTCCAGACTGAACAGAGTAGGGTGCTTTATAGCTCTAAAGAGAAAAGAAAATGCCAAGATACCAAGAACAGGCACATTGCCCAGGAGTACAGGCCCAAAACACCAATAGGATTTCAGAAGGGCATCCTAACCCATGACTTCTCACCTCTGACCTAATTTTTTTCTTGCCTTTAGGAAGAGTCAGAATTCTTTAAAACTGTACATAAGTCCATTTCATAAGTCTTTGTGCTTTCAATCATTTTTACCTTCCTAAATTCAGATTTTTTCCTCTTCGTTTCTAATTCTCAGTGAAATTTCACTTGAATTCTCAAAATGCAAATTTGTATGTCTACTCCCCTAACTACACTTTCGGGAGCTCAGGAGGCATAGTCCCTAAGGCATTTGACTGCTAGCCAGAAGGCTGGCAGTTCAAACCCATCAGCCACTCCTCGGAAGGAAGGTTGGACAATCTACTTCCGTAGAGATACCACCTCGGAAACACAAGGAGGGGTCACTATAACTAGGATCCAACACCACAGCGGTGCGTTTGGTTTGGTTTCTTTTTTTTAACTACTTTTTCTCTAAAAGTTTACAAGTAGTAAATTACTTGTGAAAGTTAAACATAAAGGAGTGCTCACTAGATTTTCAGTGATTTATTTCTTAAAAAATAATTAATCTTATGTTTTCAGATTGTTTTCCTATAGGTAATTCTATTGAAGTAAAGTGTGATTAATTCTGAAGACATTGAACCTGCGAGCTTAAGGAGCACCTCCTCTGTATGGTCCTGAGATTCTCCGACATATTGCACTAATATTCCTGGGGTGCGTAGGGGGTGCGCCTCAGCCCAGACAGTTATGTAATACATCAGCACGTTTTCCTGACATTAATTTCTATTTTTAAGGTAACTGCTCTTCTTCTGTGTCAATCACCACCAAATGACCTCCCATCCCAGCACAGTTCTACTCACTCTTAGTCCAAACATCCTTTTCAGTAGAAACAAGGTAGCAGCTGGAACCAAATGACTTCCAAGTACTTGGGCAACATCCCCAGACTTTTTCTGTATTGTATGAAAGAGAAGTTTGAGTCCAAGATGAGAAAAATAAGAATGAAGTATGTTCTGTACACGTAAAACTCAAAGGTTTTGCAGTTGTTTTCTAGACATGTTTTCTAACTTGTGCATTTACTGTTCCCTGAATTATATGATTTGGGGCCATAGAATTATTCTTAAAGAAACATTCTTTAGCAGAGGCAGGGCAAGATGGCGGACTAGGCAGAAGGATTGCACAGACCCTCTTCAACAAAGAAAAAGGAAACCAATTAACACAGACACAGAAGATAATCTTGGACCCCTGAGCCTTGAAGGAAAGGATGCAGATTTGGA